AAAATATTTAAATGTAATCCATTATTCATGATTTTACGTAAAGTAGATAGAATTCACTATATGTCGCCACCCTAAAGTATAATTTATAACCACCGTAACGTAACTTAACGCCTTAGAAATTTAGGAGAGGATAAATACCCACCCATACATCGTGTATTGCGCAAGCGTTTAAATGAAAGACGCGCGCTACTTTTAAACTATATATTCCGATTTAAACGTTTTTCACTAATACTAAATGAGGGATTTATGTGTAATTACTTTGTTAATGGAAAAATGATTTTAAAAAATAACTCGGCGGTAAACATGTCATAGGGGTCTATTCTGTAACAATTCCTTTATATTTAACGGCCTTTAAAAATATTGGCGGCCTATAAAAATATGTTCGTATTCGTTAATTTACTTCTGTCATTATTTAAACAGATTTCTTTAAGATAGTCCTCTAATGTATTTTAAAGATCCGTTTAAATAATGACAGAAGTAAAGAAGAAAATATTTTTAAAGGCCGTTAAATATAAAGGAATTGTTAAAGAATAGACCCATTATTCTTATATATTTGACATGATTTTAGGGTGTGTTTTTTATAATTTGATATATCAGATTTTTCTCTTTTGAGTTTTGGTAATATCTACCCAATTAGCCAATCTCAGTTTAATTTGCAATTATTTTAATGTGTACTCTGTAGACTATTTATATCACTTTTCGTACTACTTTAAGAACAGTACTGTTAATTAGCATCCAACAATGAATGGTGGGGCATCCTATGTAGGCAATAATGCCTATAAATAATAAATATAAATTATAAAATTAATTTTTAATTATTTCAATTAGAAAAAAAAAATTCAAACCTTAAATTCGAAATTCGTAACTTTAAAATAAATACTATAAGAAAATTATTTGTAATCTATCTATAGGTAATCGAAAGAAGGAAAAATAAAGATAAACAAAATATGTGTTTTTATTATTCATACATATGGTCTTTTTTATAATCAAAGGATATTTGTATTTCTCCTGCTAGATTATTTTTTATATTGCGAGTTTCTTCATGATCTGGCTTTTTCAAAGTTTCATTTTTTTTGGTCCTTTTCTTTTTTGTGCTGCAAAATGTTTTCTGTTTCATTATTTTTTTATTTGGTGGTTCGATTACTTCATTATCATTTTTAGAAGTAGTTGTAAAATCTTCATTTTTACTTAGACTGGATAAAAAGCTAAAACAATTTTTCATGGTCTTTTTTACATGCAATAGCACATCATCATTTACATTTTTATAATCAAAATTAGTAAACTGGGAGCCCAATGCCTTAATTTCATTAGCTATTGCAGAATTTAAACTATTCTGATTGCTACCAATTGTCTTCATATGCAGAAGAATTTCCTCTGTGTTTTTGTCATTATTAATAATCAGATCAGATTTATCGTTTACAGTTCTCTGGCTCTCAAGCAACACTATAAAATGGATATGTACACAGATTGTATATCTAATACAATAGTCCACACAGGTGCACTGATACGTATGTATACATATGTTACATTCTTTGCAAATTAATTTGCAACATGCAATAGGGACAGTTTGTTTTGAAACAAAATATGTTTCCTTTTTTTTGTTACTAATTTTCCATAAATCATCATATAATTCAATTTGAAAAACTGAAGTTACTGCAGAACGATGTCGTTTGTCTATTTCACTAATGTGATTTGAACTTAGGCCTTTTGTATTTTTAATCAGTCTTTCAATAGTTTTATTTCTAATATAAGAAATTAACGAACTGATTCCTTTATCCAGTCGTTTAACTTTCTTTGCCTCTAAATAAAAATATTTGATTGTTTTATGCATAGACTCAATATGCATATTAGTATTGATGCCAGCATTCTTTCTGCAACAATAAGCCCACTGCTCGTAATTCTTTATATAATGTTCTTCAAAATACTTTGCAAAATGAACTGTTTCTTCATCATCCCATAATAATTGAATAGTTGAATTTAATTCTTGAACAAATTTACCTTCATCTAATATGTATTGTAAATATTTTAGTGTTTTATACACATTTCTTCTTTTTTCTTGATCACCAATTTTGTTAAGGTTGCTCTGCCAAGCTCGGTCCACATGCCAACTACAATGCAATTTATATTGTGGGGTGCCCATGACTTTTTCCCATGCATTTATGTATGTTACTGTGATATCAGTCATAAAGGTCTTGGGTGATAATACTCCTACACACTCTTTAATGGCACCAAAAAAGATTTCATTCATTGTAGTATCGATACGATTGCTAAACATGCAGGCTCCAGGGAAACCTTCTCCATAATTATCAATTACCATAACTGTGGTTAGCTGAAAGTCGTATCTGTTAAGCCCATGAGTACTATCTATGCAAATTATTTTATTTCCATATGTTTTTAAGAGATATTCTTGTGATGGGTTCATAAATATTAAACAAATATCATTAATATTTAGAATTGGGTGCTCTTCTCCTTGTTTTTTATAGTATAAGAAATTATGTTTTTTGAATTCTTCAGCCCATAACTCCACACTAACAGCATCATTTTCATGTAACACCTATAAAATTGTTAGTTAGTAAAATATGACATTTAAAAAATTAATTACAATACCTACCCCATTTTTAATATCAATATGATAACGATGTTTTACATTATTCACATCCCTCATTGTCATAAGGTCCTTTCTGGCTAAGTGTTCAGAATTAAGGTTTTCTCGGTTAGATTCTAATACTCTGAAAATGTATATATTTTATAAATGGACAATAATAAATGAAGAAGCAAGTAGGAAAAAGGAATATTTTTAATTTTTCAAATTTTTGACTAATGTAAGAAACTATATTTATGTGCAAGATTGTTTTATTTAACTGTAATAAATAAAATAACAGTCACTCCATAAGAGTGTATGGTTTTGCAAAACTTCATTCCTTTATCCATTTTTGTTCATTCATATATTTTACAAAAGTAGAAGTAGCAATTATTACAATATTTTACCTTTTTGCTGTAACACCACTCATTAGTTTGGCAGCTATGTTTGCATGAATATCTTTCGAGATTCTAATGTGCTGGATTTCTTTTTCATGAGCATAATGTGTCTTATAATATGTAACTGATAATGTATTTGTCTCTAAATTTTTAATTGTTATTATTGCACTGGTACAAGAAACATTTATTTTGCATGTGCCTTGAGACTTCAGTTTTCTTTTTCTATTTAGTGGCAACACCGATGAAATATATTTACCTACAAATAAATTACCTATATATTCAGATTTATTATAGATTAAAAGCTATATTAACAATTTACTTTATTTAGTTAAGAAACGTCCAAAAAATACAAAACAATTTATTACCTGTACGATTGCAGTAGTAATATGAGGTCTGATAGCCTTCTCTATGGTGTTTCGAATGAGAAAATACATACTGCACATAATCTCTATTCAAGTCTGTCATCCAGCAAGTAAATTCTATAACAGAAAAAAATACTTTTTAGATTTATTCAGAATTATTTTACAAAAAATAATTACCTTCACTGGTCGAAAATTCTTGAATTTCTTGCTCGGCAATAATTTTGTGTTCCTTTTCTAAGTGATGTCTCAAGGTTTTTATGTTAGTAAATGAAACGTTGCAGCCTTCTAAACATTTGTGAGGAAATTTATCATATTCAAAACATGTATTTTCTTTTTCATGTTTTACTTTCATATGTTGGTTTAATGTTCTCTGATGACTGTAGACTTTTTTACAAATCAAGCATGTTACAATCATTTTAAACGCACTGATAATAAATAAATTATTTGAATTAATTTATAAAAAACGATATAATCACACTTCCAAACTACCAAAAAACTCATAAAAGTATTAACGGTTGAAGTAAGGTTAAAAAGTAAAGTGAATGTCTTATTTCTGTCACTTGAACGCTTGCGCAGTATACGCTGTATGGGTGGCGATTTATCCTCTCCTAGAAATTTAACCTAAGATATAAAAATAAAGTCTATTTATAAATGTCCGTAACGTAAGAGTTGATCATGCGTGTTGTATTTCAGAGATTATCAAATTACTGACAACCTTATGAAATAAACAAGTGTAAACAATGTACCTAACCTCTAAATAAAACTTATAAATTATGATTTTGCTATATAGAAAGAATATATTAACTACTTTAAAAGCAATAATATAAAAATATAATACAACAGAATAGTTAACCGAAGATGTTGATTGTTTTTGAGCAATAATGAGAATTTAATCTTTCCTAGCAAACTAGTTTTGTGTCTTATTTCAGTTCTAGGCTTGATGTTTATAGGTATATGCAGCAACACTCATATTTCATAAATAGTTTATCCCCAATAACATAAACACAAATCATTCATGATAATGTATGTCCATCAAAAAGGAGAATGATAGTTTACAAATGGTATTTGTCTATTCATTTATAAAAAAAATAAATAAAAAGAATAATTGACAGTTATCACATGCTGAACTCAGAATTATCTCATTGGCTAACCGTAAGGTCTTAAGTTAAGTTGTTAAGTTTTAAAGTTGGTGAACTTTTTACGGTACGTTAAGTTCTTAAGTTACGTTACGAACATTATAAATAAGTATACGTAAATGCAATATTTCAACTTCTTACGTTAAGTTCTTAAGTTACGTTACGGCATTTATAAATTAAGCTTTAGATATACCAAACCTGCCCACTGGTAATTCATTTGTTTGGAATGCCTAATTATGTCAGTAATAAATCTAGTGATTATATGTCAAACACATTCTTTTCTTATTTTTAAAGATTCGTTGGGTCTAATAATTTCAATTCATTTTTAGTCGTTGCCACGTCTATTTTTAACTGCGATTGGTTATAAAATAGCTAATAACACAAAATTAAATTAATGGAATATCGAATAGAGTTGGATTAAAATTTAAACGTCATAGTCCTAAAGCGGTTAAATTTAATTAAAACGTTACAGAATAGAACCCTATGGAGTCTATTCTGTAAAAATTTGGGTACAATTAACCCTGGGTTATAAAAATAAACATTTGTTTTATCATTTTTCAAAACGCAAATAACAAACAACGCCATTTTAAAATATTGTATATTTCAAGATTTTTCACAAGAAATAATATTTTTGTAACTACTTTTTTAATGATTTTTTCTTTAACTTGTCTTTCACATTGACAGGGTAAGTCAACAATGAATCACCACGTTTTCTTATCAATTCTCTAGCAATTTTTCTAACAGTCTCACTATTCAATGGTGCTAGCTGCTTGCTCTTTTTACCTATACCACCATTGGTTAGTTTGCTCTTCTGTTTTTTATTTTTCTTCACACTTGGAGAAGTAGCTACATCGACCTTTGTAGTTTGGTCACCTCCTCCAATTTTATTTGACGATTTTACAGCTGTTAAGGATTTTGATTTTGACACTGCTGTAGATTTCCTCTTTGTATTTTCAGGTAGAGATACTACTGATTTTATTTTTTCAATAGATTTTGAAGACTTTTTTCTAGAAACTTTAGTGCCTTCAGTTGTCTTTTCAACTGGATAAATTTGATTCAAAGATGGATGCCGATCCTCTTGTTTAATCACAGCTAAATTCTCTGGTGTATAAGTTGTTTTAACTCCCAGTTCTTGAAGCCTTTCTATTTTTTTATGTAATTTTGAAAGGCGTGAGCTTGTTCTTTTCAGGTGAGTTTTATCATCTACTTTTAGGCTGGCCAGACGTTGCTTTTCTCTTCTGATTTTCTTCGAAAATCGGTTCAAGGTGGTGTTCTTTCCAATAAATAGGTATTTGGGACGTTTCTCATATGGCACGAATTCAGCTAAAATATAAACAAGTTTGTTTAGTTTGATTAAAACGTTATAAAAAGATGAACAGATATCAGTAGAAATAAAAATTTGAGAAACAAATATATACGTAAGTGCTGTCAAAGAGATTAAGAAACAGCAATGGACCCAGCAAAGCCATAAATTATTTTTGAATCTAAAGGACAAAAACAGCACTGCTAGAGATAAGAAAAATTAAATCGGATTCAAAAACAGAAACATTTTTTAAATAAAGGTACAAAAATTACATGGATTAATGTTTTTAATTAGGTAAAGCCTTTTGGCATACCAATAAAACATAACTTCAAAGTACATATATTATTTTTTATAAATTTGCACCTAAGTGATTTAACATTTGTTTGTGCATAACATATTTAACTTTTTTTTTTAATATAATTTTGATAATAGTTTTCCTATATTATATTAAATATTGTTAATAAAATATTACATTATTAAACCCTAACAACTTGTTACGTGAAATTAATTTTAAATTAATTTCAAATTTATTTTTAACAACAACTTCTCCATAACCCCTCGCAACACAACATATGACTCTTGCCCTATCATTATTACCATTATCGATTTTTAAAAAATAATCGTTCGCGCATGATCTGCTAATGTCGGCGCATAGCCCATAGCGGTTCTTTTAGCAACCAGTTCATATAAAACCTAAAACGGTGAATTAATTTTCCCTTTCTGGTGTTTAAATTCAAAAGTGCCTAGCTGTGCCAATAAATACACTCACCGGCACGAAAAACGGAGCAGTTGAATTTTTTTAAACAAACTTAAAATTTTAATGCTTTGTGATGTTTTATTGTTATAATATCTTAAACATAAACAAAACAACGTGTTTTAAGCATTTTCTAACAACAATTGAACCTTTATTTGAAGAAAAAAAGCGTTTTTGAATAAAAATCAAAAATTGAACGGACTTATCACTTCAAAGTGCATAGTTGGCTATGAAACCATGACCAACAAAGCTGTTGTTTTCATTGTTTTGAGAAATTTTACAGATCGAAACACGTTTTAAAGTTGTGCTGCGTTTATTTCACCTACAAAATTATGGCTGTTAATCCCGAAATAACGGCTGCTACTGTTGCGTTGCTTCAAGACGGAAGAAGTGAGCGATATGTTGCCCAACAGTATCACATATCCAATAGCACTGTGCACCGTATTTTTACGTTTTTTGGAAACTGGAGCTTACACCAGATGACTTGGAACTGGTCCCCAACGAAGAACTAGCGCTCATGATGATCGCTTTATCATCTTACAAAGTCTGCGAAATCGTCATGCTACGGCTGTTGAAATCAGAAATCGACTTCATCACGTCCGGCAAACCAACATAAGCGAACGGACAGTTAGACGAAGACTCGGAGAAGCCAATCTTACCAGTCGTAGACCTGCAACACGCCCAGAGCTTCTTAGGTGTCATCGTATTGCGCGATTTCAGTTTGCCAGAAATCATGAGCACTGGGGTGAAAATGAATGGGGGCGCGTTTTGTTTACGGATGTGTCCAGATTTAGCCTGCGGTCTCCAGATGGTCGTGAGAGAGTATGGCGAAGACCACAAGAGCGTTTCGCAGAATGTACCTTCAGTCCTAGGGTAGGCTACCAAGGAGGCTCAGTTATGGTGTGGGCCGGAATTTCTATGGAGGCACACACAGAATTGTACATCCTTCCGAGAGGCTCCTTAACTGCTGCCAGGTACATTGATGAAATTCTCCAAGATTTTGTTGTCCCTTATGTTGACTTTATTGGAAATGACTTTCTTCTAATGCATGATAATGCCAGATCTCACATCGCGACAATCACTCAACAGTACTTAAACGATGTAAACATTCCTGTTATGGAGTGGCCAGCGTTAAGCCCGGATGCGAACCCAATCGAACATGTTTGGGACATGCTTGGGCGAAGGATGCGAAGTCGTGTTCCTGCTCCTTTAACTTTAAATCAGTTGCAACAAGCTCTTTTAGAGGAATGGGAACATATTCCTCAAGAGGACATTCGCCACTTAATTTTGAGCATGCCAAGGAGGATGCAGGCTATTATTCGAGCACGTGGGGGCAACACACGTTATTAAAAATGCGGCTCCCCAGTTTTGCTAGCAAGTCGTTTCAGTTTTGATTAATTTAAGGTCATTTATCAACAACACCAATTTGTGCTTTTTCGTCTTCGTTTTTTAAATTGTTACAAAACCCTTTTTTTTCTTCAAATAAAGGTTTAATTGTTGTTAGAAAATACTTAAAACATGTTGTTTTGTTTATGTTTAAGATATTATAATAATAAAACATCACAAAGCATTAAAATTTTAAGTTTGTTTAAAAAAATTCAACTGCTCCGTTTTTCGTGCCGGTGAGTGTATAATAAAATGAGTTTCTAGTAATTATCTTTAATTTATGTGTATCGTGTGAACGTTGGGATAACTGTCAGGTAAATGTTTTTCTTTTATTCCCATTTTGCTGGATTTCGTTGCAAAACTTAAGGTCGGCCATGTGCTTTTTTTTATTACCACCATGCTGATGAATGCCGGCTTCTATATTTTATTTCATTTTATATATATAGGAGGCAACTAAATAATTGAATTACAAGTCAGTCTGGAAATACAGTTTAAACGGAAATTTATGGCTCCTAACTTATTTTTGCCTTATAAATATTTTACATTCTGTTCAGATGATGTAACTTTAATATTTGTCGTGATATTTTATATTCTGTTCAGATGATGTAACTTTAATATTTGTCGTGATATTTTATAATCTGTTCATAGGATGTAACTTTAACATTTGTCCCGTTTATGCATAAATCCGTTAGATTTCCAAACTGGCATGTATATGTACTTTTACACATGGTACTGAGGTTCTTTTATTTCTAAACCTGTAGTGGCTCCAAGAAGAGGCTACTCCTCCAAGTATCCAAGTACTCAAGTACTGTCTCCAAGAAGAGGCTGCTACTCCTCCAAGTAATGGTTCCAAGTAGTACTTCCAAGTAGTACTTCCAAGTAGTACCTCCAAGTAATGGTTCCAAGTAGTACCTCTAAGTAGTACCTCCAAGTAGTACCTATAATAAGCTCCAGGCTCTTCTATGAAAACGCATTAAGAAGCTCCAAGCTCCTCCAGGAAGCTCCTAGTTGCCCCTAGCTTTAAAAAAGGGAAGTACCGTACCTACGCATTAAAATACCACCATTTATCGAAGTATCTAACAGTAAATTTAAACAACCATTCATTCATTCAACTCTATTCACTAACTATTTAATTTGTAGACTGATGTAATACTTAAATTTCACTTTTTTTATTAAATGTATTAAAATTTCTCACTTTCATTTATTTACCAGAACCCATACAGATAACTTTAAGTACCAGAGACGGACTCAATTAAACGGGACATTTAAAATCAGATAAGTTTTCCAAGTTACTGAAAAACTTGGTAGCGCTCAACTTTTTTTGTCTTTGTCTTATTTTAATATCTTTCATTTTATCTTAAAGTAGATCTTGACCCGCGAACAGGTCAAGCTACTCTGATTTTATTTGTCCTGGTCAATTTTTGAATCCACACATATCAGCAATTTGAGCTTAATCACTTATTAAATAAATTAACAACACAGAAATCTAGAAAGAAGGTAACAAACTTGTAAACAATTTATTTATTAAAAAACTATATTCTTGCAATATTTATTATGCAATTGAAAGCGGTTTTAAAGATAGCTGCATCAAAAAATCTGAATCTCTGAATTTTGGAGATAAATGCTCGGAAGCGACCGATAGGGGTTGCAAAAATAAACGATTTATAGATTATTCGGTTATTTTTTAGAGAAATTGATTTGTCGGTCAATCGGATTTTTAATTAATCAGTTATTTTCGATTAGTCATAATTTTTTATTTTTTAAAGTTTACCGAATAATCGATTGTAAAGGAAATACAAAAAGAAAATCGATTATTTGAAAATAATTGATTGATCTAAAATAATCGATTATTTTAAATTAGGTTTGTTTATAATATGTAATGGTAAATGCTATATAATTGGTCTTATCTGCATTTGAAGACAGTTGGTACTCAACCAGCCTCAGCTTTATGATATTCATGCCTTCTTGAACACTTTCCTTAGTTAACTTCCCAATCATATCCACTAAATATGGCAAGAGTGTAATTGGCATATGATACTATTTGGGTATCTCTGTCAAGTATTAATAGAGAATTTATATAAAAAATGGTAAGGAGATGCCAAAGAAGGCAGCAGAGCACCTAGGGAATTTTGAGTTGAAACCTATGCCATATTTTTAGGCAATTTTAACGCTATTTTTACACCCTATTCAAAAATTTTATGCTCCTCATTTTTTACAAAAATAAAGGTGCTCTGCTAGCTTCGAATAAAATCAGCAGAGCACCTCAGTTTTTTTTTCCACAAACAACAACATCATAATTTTAGGCTCTTCAAATTTTATAAAACTTTTCGATAACACTTGATATTTTTAGAAAATACAGGGAGTTCTGTTAGCTTCTAATAAGGCCAGCAGAGCATCTTGGTTTTTTAAAGCTTTTTTCTAAAAACAACTACATCATATTTTAGGCCATTTTTAGGCTCTTAAAATATTATAAAACTTAAAATTGCTATTTTTAAATATTACAGGGTGCTTTGTTCGATCAAAGTCAGCAGAGCACATCGCTTTATTAATTGTTTTGTCCTGAAACAACTACTGTTGCATTTTTAAGCTATTTGCTAGCTTCGAACGAATCCAGTAGAACACCTCAGTTTTTAAAGTTTTTTTCTAAATACAATAACAGTACATTTTTAGGCTATTTTTATGATCTTGAAATATTATAACTGGCTTTTTTCGATATTAGTAAAAGTAAAGAACCCCGTATTTTATAATATTTCAAAAGACTAAAAATAGCCTAAAAATTTGATTTGATTGTTTTAAAGAAAAACCTTAACAATAATGAGGTACTAAGGTGCTTCGCCAGTAAAGCACTTGGTATGTGGATGTGGATTGATTGTAGGTGCTCCTCTGGCTTCGTTCGAAGCAAGCAAAAGCCTCAAATTTTTCGGAATGTTTTATATTTCAAGAGCCTAAAATTAACCTAAAAAAGTGGTTTGATTGTTTTTAAGAAAAAACCTTAAGAGTACTGAGGTGCTAAGGTGCTCCGCTAGCAAAGCACTTGGTATTTTTAAGAAAATTGTAATTTATTTCATGTTTTATAATATTTCAAGAGCCTAAAAATGTGGTTTGATTGTAGGTGCTCTGATGGCTTAGTTCAATGTTAGCAAAGCACTTTTGTATATTTTTAAAATAGAAAATTTTATGGAATGTTCTATAATATTTCAAGGGACAAAAAATAGACTAAAAATGTGGTGTGGTTTAAAAAAAAAAAAACTTAATAAAATGAATGTGCTCTGCTGGCTTCGTTTGAAGAATAGGGTATAAAAATAGCCTTAAATTAGCCTAAAAATATGGCATAGCTTTTAAGTCAAAATTCCGTAGGTGCTGCCTTTGATATGGTATAGTGAAGAGTATATAGGCACACCCACTCTCGCCAGTTGTGGTTCACTTAGATATATATTGACTTTTACATAGGTATTGTGAAAGGTAATTTTAATAATCTTTAAAAAGACTTATTAACCCACGGATTCCAACTTACTTGTAGTAGTTTTTCATCATATACTGTGTCGAATATAGGAATACTGCGATACATTTTCTAATGTTATCAAGATTGATTGAAACTTCATTAATAAACTCATACATGGTATCTAACATGCTTTTACCTTCTCAGAAACCATATTGATATTCACTAAACCTAAGTATTTTGTTCCTATTCAAAAAATATATAAAAAGTGATTTTGGACACTTTTCAATAATGTTTCCAAAGTTATTAATTAAACTAATTGGGCGATAATTTGAAATTTTATTTTTGTCACCAGCTCTGTAGATAGGGGTTATCACAGAGTTTTGAAATTGCTTGGGGAATTTTCTATTAATAAATATTAAGTTAATGATATGGCTAAGAGGACAAATATTGTATGTCCATTTTTGTCAAACATGGTATAGGTTCTTCATTGTAAAATAATCATGGTTGCCAAATTTAGTATGTTCACTTGAAACGGTTAACCAGCAGGTAAATTAATACTAATAGGAACTATACAGTTCATCATAGCCACCTCCAACTTTCTAATCTATTTTACTCAAAATTACATTTTTGGACATACATTTGTCTTCGTAACCATCAATATATTGCACCTAGTTTAAAAAAAAAGGGGCGATTCCATCATAATCAGGTGTACTAACATTTTTTAATGAAAACATCAAAACATGACATGTTCTTTATACCACAATTAAAGATAGTAATGTAAAAGAAAAACTGTAACTATGTGGCAATGTTACATTTTTGCTGTGCTATTCACAGTCAGTCTATGTGTTGGGTGATATTTGACTTCATAGCCAAGAATGAGAATAGTATTACCTGTAATTCGTTTCTTAAACATCAAATAATTATTCATTGTATCGGCAGCAATTTTTGCCACATCAGGATGTGCAAATTCAACATAACCATATCCTTTACATCTTCCTGTTCTGCTGGAACGACATACTTTAACATTTGTTACCTTCCCAAATTGTTTAAAATAGTTTTTAAGCTCATCCTCATAAAAACCATGTGGGAGATGAGATATGTAGATCAAGCCTCTAGTTTGTTCCACGTTAAATTTGCCAGGTTTTTTAGTTTCCTTAATGGCAATTGTACCTTCCTTAAAAATTGTAGGTTAGAAATGGTGCCTGAAGTTTTGCTAATTTTATACTTACTTTGATCTTTTTTTTAAGTTTTTTTGTCTGTTTTACGACTTCCTTCTGTTTAGTAGTATCCAAAGACAATACTTCTGCATTTTTTAACTGATTCATTTTTAACATTTTCAATATGACAATAATTTCTCACAAAAACCCCACGTGTATTTTGAATTATTGACATAAAAGAAAATTTAAAATTTGACAGATATATTGACGTTAATGGTAGGCAACTTACAATACCAATATGAGTAAAACTGGTTATCTAAGGGTCGATTCTACCGCATGGAGGTTTCTACCGTTGTGTTAAACGGAGATTAAAATGACAATTGTTATGTAAAAATGTCATTTTAATCTCCGTTTAACACAACGGTGGAATCGACCCTATTAGGCATTCCAAACTGAATGACTACCAGTGGGTTTTGACAGGTTATGATGTGGCAAAGTTATGGCAACTCTGTAGGCCTGGTGATTTGACAAGGTGAGTGAAATAGATAGTTACGTAGATTGATCATCCCTATTTTTTAAAATAAACATAAGCTTATTCCTTGAAGTAAAAATATAAGCAATTATTATTTTTTAAATATCTAAAATCTGAAAATTGGTTTTAAAGCACATTTTTGCTAAACTGATTCAAATTAATAAATATTTGCCAGGCAATATGGCTGCTCGCAAACGACTAGCTTTGAGCAATGTATATAACATATATGTATCATTGACCCTGTTAATGACAACATGACAACAGGGTTGCCATATCTAAACTGTCAGTACCCATTGGTAGCCTTTTGGACAGGTCGTTGGAATGCGGTTGATGACGTATCTATCAGTACAGAAGTTGGGCGGTCACTATAGAAACTATAAATATGAATTTACGTCAGGATTTTGTGTTTTTTTAAGTTTTTAGAGAATTTAGAGATTATTTATGCGTTTTTAGAGTGAATGAAGTTCCATAAATATCGAATTATTAATATATTGTTTCTGAGTGAATAAAATTTTAAAAATATTGAGTTTTCAAATTTATTTTAGTGAACAGTATTTGGATACTTTTGCTATTTTTTTTTTTTTTTTAATTATTTAAATAGATTTGGTAAATTTTCTCAATAAAACATTGAAAAATGTTTTCTAAATCACTGTCTGTTGTTTTAGATTGAAATGCCTGGGCAGATTTCTGAGTTAAAAAATGGAATTCTTATTTTAAAAAATATGTGCAAGTAATATTATAAAACTATATAGGCAATGAAATAGTGAAGGTATTTAAAAATAAAACTTTATCAGATGATGACACAAAAATATTTGCAAACTAAGAAAGGTAGTACATGGAAACATTTGTTATTAGTTTTACAAAAAAAAAATATTCCGTTTGAAAATTTCTGCATCACTTAGAAATTCATAATCAAGCAACAAATTTGAAAAATTCAAAAAATTTCAATACCCTAGCATTGGCTTTGTTTTATTTATTCACTTTGAAAATAAAGTACAATGATGAGCATATTTTTTAATTCCTATAAACATTTTCAATTAATATTTTGCTTTATGTATTGAAATTTAAAAGTGCTTTACTCCTCACCAAAAATCGTTATTTTTAATTTCCCTGTATACTAATGAATACTTTACAAATATTAATCTCAATTATTAATTTGCACTTAAAAACTTTTTCGTAAAATAGATAGGTACACTGTATAATCTATTTTAAAGTTTCAATAATGTTTTTTTAATATTTAAGTATATTATTTTTAACTATAAATACTGGTTTAAAAATATTATATTGTTAATTATGTAAAATAATTTTTAGGTAAAGTGTTTAACTGTGCATATATTTTTTTCAAAAGCCAATAATAGGCCATTTGCATAGAAATAGTAACCAGCATTTGTTTAAACTCAGTATTTATTTTTTCATTAATATTATAGTTAAATAATTAATACAAGTAAGTAGGTAAATATCTTTTTTTTTTTAATTTAATATCTATGTTGTGAAAAAGTATATAAAAACCTATTATAATTTTTTCTCTTTTTGTAGGAACCTTTATTAAAAACTTGTCATTTATGGTATTAATCATATTTATAAATAAAAATATTTGCAAGCACGTGTGATTACCACTGCACTGTTGTAACGGTAAACATATTAATTGTTTTTATAAAACGATTAATTTTTTTTAAATACATTTTTATCGCCTTTGTAAACATATATTTGAACTTATTCTTGTAATAAACTAACAGAATAAAATTAATATACATATTTAAACAACAAAAAAGTTTATTTTTTACATAAAAAAAGTTAAACGGCTTTAGTTCTATATATTTTAAAAGAATTTAAATGACCTGCATCTAAAAGTGTACTGACAGTGACGCAACAGCTTCGCCGCTACAGATAAGAAATCGAAGAACTCAGCTATCCTGCGTGCATTTTGGTCATTGATCTGTCTCATCACTTATATTTGTCATTTGTCGCTCATCTGTTAGCTGTCAATGTCAATTGTGTCGATATTTTTAAAAGCATTGTGATTGTCAGTGCAGAAGTGTTTCAATAAAATTTATAAAATTACAATGTGCGGAGGATTTACTTGTTCAAAAAATGCACTTATTGCTCTCAACGTCTTATATATTGTAAGTAAAACAAAGTGTCATTTATTTTATAAGTTATAATTCATGTTTTCTTGCTTCAGGTGGTTGCTTCCGTATTGATAGGGGTAGCCGTTTATGGAAGGGCAGCGACTTTAGTGACTAATTTGCCGATAGTTGGAGGTATTTTAGCATGTGGAATAATATTAATGTTAATATCAATGCTGGGACTGATGGGGGCAGTCAAACATCACCAGGTTATGTTGTTCTTTGTATCCTTTTTATGAAACCGGAAGTATTGAGTTTATCTCAATCAGCCTACACGTTTCTTTGAGTTATTATGTTACTTAAGTGTGATAATTTAAAATTTATGCTGATTGCTCTAAAAATATCTATGTAATAATAGATTTATCACTTGTGTTTATATCAATTTATTAGAAATAACAAAATACACTTGTTCAACAAGATTACTCTGGATAATAATATGCTTAGGGGCCAAGTTTACTTTTAATGCAAGGCAGCTAGGAAAAAAATAAGAGGAAATAGTAAAACAAATATTCAATTTTTTATTGTTTAAAAGACAAATACTTAATATAATGAAATAGATGCAGGTACCTACTTTCATGAAAATCATAACAAAAATTTTTTAGAATAATGTAATTAAATAATTACAATGGAAGTTCAATTTATATTAATAGTACCCACATTTTGTGGGTATTCACAAGGATTAAAATAATTTGAATGTTTTACTGCTCAGCAATGAAATATATATTATCAAGGGACCATAATGATACAAAAAATGTAATTAGTTACATATAATGTAATAAAAATGGTATTATTTGAAACTTTCACTCTACCAATTATTAATGCATAAAAAAGAAGTTGCATTGAGTTAGTAATCCTAATATAATTGGTATATTGTGATCTTGGAACTTGTGATATCTCAGTTGCCATACAAAACTTAAAGTTTTTGGTAAATATGTATTGATAATAATTTCAGATATTTTCTAAGTGAAATGTATTGTTTAGGAAACCATTTAATTGAAAATATTATTGAGCACTTGTATTAAACACCCACACTGATTCACTTTCGTTACTTGTTCCAAGAAGTTTTTAAATTATCATTCATATTAAAAATATGTTTTTTAAATAATTCAACATCTGAGTCAAATGCTATGTTACACATAGTTAATATCTTATGACCTCTTCTCTAATAGGTATTGAATGTAGAATTATAAAAAAATAGGATTTAAACAGTTATTAAACATTTTTGATGTGCTTTTTCTTTAACATTCCAAAAAGTACATGGTAATCCTTTTCCTTTTGTTCCTTATTCAATTTTCTGTTGCTTGTGCATGTCTTGGAGTTAATAGTGAACAACAAACACAGTTAGCAGAAGAAGGATGGAAAAGGGTAGATAATAGAACAAGATCACAAGTACAAGTTGTTTTTAATTGCTGTGGATTTGATCCAAAAGTTGATGCAAGTGATGCCCCACCTGATTTCAAAGAAATTGAGGTAAGTTTTTCGTAATAAAGTTGTATTTTAAAATTTTATTTAACAGGATTTGTATTATAAAAACAAACAAATTTAGTTTAATTTTATAGTTACTGTAAAGAAAAATAGAATCAAATCTGAAATCAATATATTGCCCCCTTACTACAAATACTGACCAACCGACACTTTAGTATCTTCTGGTAAAACCTGTTAACCGATATGACATCCCTTTTGTAATTTACTTATGGTTAAAAACAAATAAGAACACAATTTGTGTACAGGTAGAAACAAATATATGTACTATGCATATTTGTAGTTAGTTGAATTTTGCAGTAAGGGTAAGATATAGTAATATTAAAATATATTGAAGTGGATTAGAAAAAGTGTATTGAATAACATGAATAACAAACTAAATAAGGTAATAAGAATGTTGGAATTAAAGTTGATTCTTTTTGCGATACAGAATGAAATATAGGAAATATATATTTTTAAATTATAGGGAAAAGTTTGCAGAGATCCTATGATAGTTGACTGTAAATGCCCAAACTGCCATGATAAACTACAAAATACCATCAACTATGCCTTTAAATTATGTGGATGGATAGGACTGTTCTTTAGTTTTTCTGAGGTAAGTATAGACAAATTATTTAATTAACATTATTTTTTTAAAAAGTAAATTTTGTCATTAACAACTAATTTGGTTGCAGTATAGGAACTTGAAAAACCTAATTATCAGTCACTCAACAGAAAAAAAAATAAACAACCAGGTGGGGTTTAACGCAATAAAATTCATCAGTCTAAAAAAAAATATTTTGACTTCATATTTTATTAAAAGTATTAGGTTGTGGGAAGTATTTTTTAGTATCTATAGTAAACAAATATTTATTGAAGACAAACAGTGTATTTAATGCAATAATGAAGGTCCTGTATTTCAAAATGATTACATTTTTCTTGAAGACGTTTTTGAGGGTATTTTTCTTAATTTAAAGATAAATTAAGTAGTAGTCCTGTTGGGATCACAGCTTATTTTCTAAAAGTAGATATGATAAATAATTTTATTCTTATTAAAATGGAATCTATGATTGTTATTATTTTCATTTGGATGATCACTACATAACTTTATCATTACAAAATTGAAAACAAATAAAAAGAAGCTAAAAGCAGTCAGAAATCTGCACTTTTGGCGTATTTGCCACGCATGTACGCGCAACGCCACAGTACGAAAAAGCCACGTTTTTTGTGAAATATGTTGAATTTTTGCTGCAATGCGTCACATTTTATCTGATGAACAGTTAAAACATTGAAATGTTTTGATTTTTTTAACCAGAATCCGGATAAATATTACCAATTTTACATTCTATTAAAAATAGTACTTTGAATATAAAAAATAAATACACTGATTGTACTTTACATTGTACATTTATGTTTGAATCTTGATTATTTTAAAATTTAACAGACTAATAATTGATGTGTTTAAAAATAGTGATGGATCCTTGTGAAATGTCCTAGGACATGTCTGAATAGTGGACATCTCCCAAACAAACTTTGGGAGACAAAATTAAATAATCCACCTGAATTTCTATTCACCCTAAATAATTTTCAAAGTGAGGCTTATGTGAAAAAATACAAAAACCGTATAAAGGGGAACGTCTTAGGTAAAAAATACAAAAGAAAGAAAAAAAAAGGGAAAAAGAGTAAACAAAGGCGCCCAAATGCAGCTTCTAAATGATTCATTTTATATTAATAAAAAATTTCCTATGTTTATTCGGTCGTTTTTATTTTAGCACAGCACTACATATGTTTCGGAAACATTTTCGTATTCATTTTATACCTCAGATATACATTTTTGGAATCAATTATTAGGCAATCCAAATCACGTGACTTAAAATTATTTCAAAAGTTAAAAATAATATTTAAAGTGGGTAATGTTTTATGTTTCATTTGACAAATATAAGAAAAGGCAAGATGTAATTCATCATGTCCTCTCTTTTCTACTTACGCAAGGCGACTGCCTCTGAGGTGTTGCATTCAACTGACATAAATGTAGCAAGAAATCGCTTTAAAGCTATGGAGTTAAATGAACATGTTCCAAAAGCGACATTGCTGCAAAGTATAAACATAGTTCCACTGCTGGGTTATAAGGCAGCAGTTTCTGAGAAAATGATAAAATGACAAAAAAAGAAATCACTACTGTTCACTACTCATCCAAACATACCCATTGAAAATGCTTAAAAATTACTTTTTCGGAAAGGACCCATCACTATTTTAAAACTGTTGGTGCGAGGCTGTAATGTTATTGTCTCAAATTTTAAATGTGGTTGCATGTTTCAGTTTATGGGAGTTCTACTAACAGTGCGTTATCGTAACCAGAAAGATCCTCGGGCTAACCCAAGTGCTTTTCTCTAGTGCAACAACGCTATTCCATTGGGTGGGTGGTTTTTTTTTTAATAATTTAGTGTAGCACCGGGGATGTGTGATACATTCTGCAGTACAACATCAAAAAATCAAAAATACGGGGACTGCCGCGGTAAAGCTATTGCATAGCATTTTTTATCAACTTATGCAATTATAATTATTTATTTATTTTATTTATGCAGTATTTTTTTTTCTTTGAGCAGTTAGCAGCTAGTTTACACGCATACGTCTAGTCGCACGCACACAAACACCGTGCCGAAGTCTGCCGAACTGAAACGACGTTAGACGATGCACGGATTTCAACGCCGCACCGCTGTGCCGGTCGGAGTGGGGGGGGGAGGGTGTTAGGTTTATTTTCGTTAAGGAGTTTCTTTTTCCATTTTTTGATTTTTCGATTTTCTTTTATTGAATAAATGAGAAGGTAATATTGTTTAACGCCGCACCGCTGTGCCGGTCGGAGTGGGGGGTGTTAGGTTTTTTTTCGTTACGGTTTCGTTTTTTTTTTCTTGATTCGGTCGCCGCGCTCAAAGCCCGCGATAAAAGCTATGCAATAGCTTGAAAACACAATAATAAAAAACATCTAATATGTAGGTAGGTACTCTTAGAATATTCAGAACCACTTCTATTTCTAAAAATTTGATAATTCCTTTGAAACTTATATGTTTTTCAAATAAAAATGGTTTTAATACAATTTTTTTTTCCTGGGCTCGTCTCTAATACAAATAATTAGGTTATTAAAGATTACTGATTCTGTCAATTAAAAAATGTATCACACATCTCTTAGAAGCACTTAGTTATAATGGTTCCTTATCCAAAAATGGTATTATTACTTTTACTACATTATAAATATAGACATAAGTCATGAACAGAGGTGACTATCCAATATTTCCAAGAATTTCAATAATTCATTTAATTAGTGTAATGTTACTTGAAGTTTTGTACTTTTTGCATATGTACTACTGCATGCATCGGTAATGATAATTGGTTTTGTATAATAAGATGCTACTATTATTTTATAACTGCCCACATTGTACAGTTTGCATGATATACTTAATGTGTTGTTTTTTTTTGGTTTTAGACATCAGGTATTGAGGTAAGTTTTACTATATATAATATGATAACATCATAAATTATTATATTTTGTTTCACGTCGAAATATTAGTGTCGAGGCATATAGCCATGCTTTTTCTGATGTCCAGCTTTGCCAATGTTCTACTCACAAATTATTTCAGTGTCCCTGGTTAAGAAATTTATTTAATATATCAAACAAAAAATGCTAAAATTTTCTATTGACACACGTATGAAACAAAAATAATAGAAAAAAAATATTTTAAACGAGGCTTAATTTTAATTGTGATATTTATCATATAATATGCACACTTTTTGAGGTCTTGGTACTTTCGAAAACTTGGTAATAACATCAAGTGATTTTTACCTCATGTATTCATATAATTTGTTGTTAGTTATTAGTTAATCTTAATGATACTATGCAAAACTATTTTTATTTATAAAAATAATGAAATAGGAATTCCACCGACATGACAAAATTGCTGCCTGTTGGCTTTGATTGAATCATGGCCAATCTTCAAAACGCGCGAATGACGTCACTAAGTTTATGTTAAAACACACTTAGGATGGGTCGTTCAAAGAATTCTGTAAACTAAATTTAGACAGCAGGAGTTTAATATTTTACTGATTATATTTAAAGTAAAAATGTCATTTTTAAAACTTTGTTCAACAATATTCGATGAAAGTGGGTGAGTTGCATCGAGAACTAGAGGACCATGATCTGGAGACGACAGGACAGAAATCAGAGCTTACAGAACGGCTTAAAGAAGCACTAGAAAGTGAAGTTTTGGATTCCGAACCGTATCTATTTTCTGATGATGCATCTTCTGCTATAATTTCTTCAATTTCTTCCGATATGGAAAGTTAAAATCTCTTCCATTAAAAACCGAAATGTCTTTTGATATGACCTCTATAAAAACCGATATATCTTCTAACATTTGTTCATTAGAAATCAAAGTTTCGGCTGATATTTCCTCCTTACATGAAAAGAGGATTTCTGGTATCTTTAAAAAAATTTCTTCCTTGGAAAAAAAGTTTTTCTGAAATGTCTTCTATGGAAATTAAAGTCTCCTCTAATATCTCTTCTATAAGAAATGAAATGTTTTCTTTAAAAGTTGAAATTTATTCCGACTTAGAAAGTTAAGTTTCTTCTGTGGAAAATAAGATGTCTTCTGTTAAGAAAAAAATAATGTCGTCCATTGAGAAGAAAATAATAGAGATGGAGAGGGGATGACATATGAGGATATGATAGAAAGGTGTCTCCTTAGAATAAGAATTTACCTGTTTTTGCGTTTTTTTTTATTCTTTAAAATATTCTCAGATACAACCGCTAACAGTTCTTAATCAAACTACATGTACAATTTTTGATGCATGAAAAATAAAACAAAACAAATAAAATATATGTCGAATTTCTAACTATATACTATACCATTATTGTGTAATTGTTCACTATTTCAATTTGTGTTATAGACAAAAAACAACTTTCAAATAGAAGTTATATGAATTTTAACAATACGTATTTTAAAAATAAAAATATTTTTGGATATATAGGGTGTTGCGTTTTTTCCTGGCAAATAAAAATATACCTATATTTTTAAATTGAACACCCTGTATTTTATTTCACTTTTAGAATGGTTTGGTAATACTATATTCAATTCTAGAATTTTTCTTCAAAATGTTACAGGTTTGCCAAGCAATTAATTTTTTTTATGAAATTTGTAAACAATGCAGTCCCCAAAATAAATTATCATACTTTAGGTAGGTTTTCATTGATTTCAAAATTGTTTAGTATACAGACTTATAATACACTAAGCTAACGAATTGTGGCGATAGAACGGTTTATTTTATACAGAGTGTTTTCAAAAATTTATTGAATATGGCTAATTTTAATTTCAATTTACCCAATTTTTTCAAATGCAACACCCTATATAGCATAATATTCCTTATGAATTTACCTATTTAACGATATCAACATGTTAGCCAATAATTAAAGAGTTATGGATTACTACAATAGTCTGGCCTTTTGGTTTTATCCAGTGCCATTAAAAAAAAAAAACAAAAATAACACATATACATGGTATTAATTAATTGGTGGTTTAACATACAGGGTATTCTATTTAAAAAATTGAGAAGATCGTAACCTCGCATTTTGACAAACCCTATATACAACATAGCAAATCATTGAAGTCTATTAAAATCGTTTAATGATGTGAAAACAATCAAATATGTATAAATTACCTGCTTTAAAAAAATTTATAGGTTTGGTCAGCCTCTCATTTGTGGACCACCCTGTTATTTAAGAATAATTGTTGAAAATGGTCATACAGCTTTTATATTTTTTTTTTTTTCATATTTCCTATAATAAAACTGCTATCCATCAATTACACACTCATGGGACACCCTGTATATGTGTTATTGGCTAACATGTCGGTATCGTTGGATAGGTAAATTTATAAGGAATTGGGGTCTATTCTGTAACAATTCCTTTATATTTAACGGCCTTTAAAAATATTTTCTTCTTTACTTCCGTCATTATTTAAACGGATCTTTAAAATACATTAGAGGACTATCTTAAAGAAATCTGTTTAAATAATGACAGAAGTAAATTAACGAATACAAACATATTTTTAAAGGTCGCCAATATTTTTAAAGGCCGTTAAATATAAAGGAATTGTTACAGAATAGACCCCATTGTATGCTAAAATAATATACAGGGTGTTGCATTTGAAAAAGTTGAGTAAATTTAACTTGAAAATAGCTATATTTAAGACTAGTATGAATACAGTATTACCAAACCATTCTAAAACTGAAATAAAATATAGAGTGTTCAACTTTAAAAATTTACATTTTTGTTTGCCAGGCAAAAACGCAACACCCTGTATATCTAAAAATATTTTTAAAAAAACCTACTTTTTTGTATTTCATAACTTTTATTTGAAACTTGTTTGTATGCGTGTCTATAACACAAACTGAAATATTGAACAATTATAACTTAAGACACCAGGGTGCATATTCTTGAAATTGGGGAGTGAGAAATATTGAGAGAAAATTCTCACTTTCTACTCCTTTCTGAAAATTCGTATTCTTCAAATCGAATTCACCAAAATTGGTGGAGAATTTTCTCTCAAAACTTTCTCCTACTTTTTGGTAGAGAAAATGAAAAAACGAGAGAATTCAATTCACAATCATGCGCAGTAGCGCAGTATGTCAAATTTTAAACAATCAAAAGCAAGCGACCCATAATGGCATAGGCATAACCTCATTTATCGTTTGGTTAATTCTACAAATATTGTGTTATTGACTTACCTTCTTCCAGTGGCAATAATCCTTGGCAGGGGCCCCTGGGATAGAATTTGAAATATTAGTAATTTCTACCCAGAGGGTTTTCGAAGATTCTTTTATAAAGTTATTCGTAAGTTTTCCAGAATTCATTTGAGGATGATTATTTACAAAATTAATTAATAATTCTTTTTGTTTGGATGTAATATTTTTTTTTTGAATCCATATTAAAAAATATACACAGTTAAAATAAAAAAAACTCCTAAATACTAATAATACCAAAATACTGGCTAATAATAAATAAAATGAAATGTAACAAGAATAATAAATACTATTAAAATAAACTCCTAAATACTAATAATACTAAAATACTAGCTAATAATAAATAAAATGAAACGTAACAAGAATATTAAATACTATTAAAATACTAAATAAATACTGAAATAAATAAAAATAAAACCATGCAAAATCGTAATAATCGTATAAACAAACAAGACCACAACAAGACTTGACAAGAATAAGAATTAAATTTCCTAGCTTCTAATTGGTCAGATGATCACAAATGATTCGCAACGAGCTGACAACTCTAACTATTTTCACCATCCACTTTCTCCTCCCTTGGCTTTCACGTTATTTCACGAATACCAATTTTTTGGGAAAGTGAAAATAAAGTGAGAATATTCCCCGGGGAGTTTCAGTTTCTCTCGTTTTCAAGCATACGTACCCAGAAGTGTATTAAGACCCAACTCAACTTTGTTCACGATATAATCACGATTTTTTTAGGTCAAAAAAACTTCGCATTATTCAAAGTAATACAAGTTACTTTAAATTTCTATCTCATAATGTCAACAAATACGTTTCACGACGAGTTTAACAAAACGTATCTCTCGAATTAGAACGGTTGCAAATGTCTGGCGCCATCTCATCGACAGTACATTTTTAAATCTTAACACAGTTTTCCTGAAATAATTAGGCAAAAATATGAGTGTATTTTGCATTTTAGCTTTTAAATACTATAAAAAATGGTGGAAAGTCCATAACTTAAATATTTGTTAAATATCACTTATTAAAATATTATGCATTAAAAGTATAACCATTCTTTCGTTGATTCTTAAACATAGAAGCGACTTTAATTTGCTCTTTTACGTTTTAACAAACGGTTTCCAAAAAGTTATTTCGAGTTTGCTCGTTTAGCGTCACCGATTCGTAATCGTACGGATTCCTTTGATGACGGTAAACGAGCCCAATGATAATATTTTCGTAAAAAGAGTATAAGAGTTTTGGCTAATAATAATATTCCAAAATTTTAATAAAATAGCACACATGCGGATTCCTACAATTAACTTGTTAATAGACCTTTCACATTTTTGTGCGCATGCATCAGTACCAGCCGTCTTTTTCGTACTGTTTATGTAAACAAGCATGTTAAAATGCGCACGTGAAAAAATTAACGTTAAATATTAATTTATAAAGTAAAATAAATTTTTTCAGTAATTATATTATTTGTACGGAAAGCAACAACGAAACGGTGTGGTTATGGAGTATATAAAAGTGACACATGCTATAAATAATTCAGTAACAATACATATTATTTTATAAATTTTCCAAGCTTTGTCTTCAGTATCGTAAAAAATTTATCAAATCATCATATTAAAACATGTTCAAAATGTACATTATGGGTGAAACAATGTCCAGCCATTTCCCTTTGTCAACAGTTGGGTCGAGAGGGTATATTATTTTTGAGTCCATTTTTTATGATGAAAAATTAATTTATTAATGTATTATCTGGTATTACACAATATTTTTTTAATTTTAAATACTATTTAGGTATACACAATAATATGATTAAAAGTGTAATCTTTATCCTCAAAATATTAAATAATGTATTTTATTAATTAAACTTTTATTAATGTTAATTAGAGTATTTTTACAAGTACTAATAGTTGGTTGGCTTAACTAATTAGAATAGAGTTATAATTATTTGTTTTCATTAATTTTTTACACAGTAAACAAGTATTGATACCTAACCTCTCAATCAGCACACTTTTTTCCTTGTTGCGAACGTCCATGGCAATTACCTTTTCAATTATTGCTCACAACTATGTGCGTCCACAGAGTTATAAGCAAGTGAAGCACCATTAACGATTTTTATAATGATTGATTTGTATGAAGAGATAATATTGCTTTCCCAGTCATTGTTGATCAAAACAGTACGAAACTTTTGCATTACCGTTATTTCAACATGGCGGCTGCGCTTGTGCTCATCATATGATGAAAAGGCCTATTGCAGCTAATTGTAGAAGGCTGTGGCACACATTAATAAAGGCGATTCAGAAATTAATATACTCATACAATGTGATTAAAACAAGAAATGACTAAAATCAAAACTGAATTAAATAATACAGAGAACCCTTCTAATTAAAAAAAGCTGGTACGCTGAGTGACATATCACTCTTACCTGCCCACTAGTTACCAGGCAACCCATGTAGTCTTCGGACCTTGCACATTAATCGGTTTGGCAAAAATGTGTTTTAAAACCAATTTTCAGCCTTTAAATATAGTAAAAAATAATTATCAACATTTTAACTTCAAACATAAATTATCAATCTATATAACTATCTATATCATTGACCCTGTCAAATCCACCAGGCCCACAGGGTTACCATATCAATGTCCACAGGCAACCATTTTGTTCGAAATGCCTAGTAATTGTGGAGATGATGTAAATAAATAATACTGACAAACATTTAAATATGTTGTTAAATCGGGTCGTATTTGACAACCTAGCAACAACGTTTTTCATAAGACCAGTACTAATATCATCGTGAAAAACAAAATATAATAAATTGTAATATCTGTACATAGCATGTAGTACACATAAACTTACTATTTTAAATGAAAAGTAGTGACTAGACATGGGTAAAATAAAAGGTAGATCTCTAGTCTGGGGATGGCGCTCTAGTTACACAGCAACATCTATTAGCCTCTATTAAATAACATTTTCAGCTCTTCACTGGCAATTAATTTCGAATATTTTTTTAGATAATAGGTCTGTTCCTGAGTAAACACTACCGCAATCTGCACGATCCTGACGAACTAAGGGCCACAGCAGTTTTTCCCCGACACAATTTCACCTATTGATATCTAGTCATTTTGTTCTACAAGTTTATCTTTCCCTGTAGCCATATATTTTTTAATTTACCAAAGATTTTTTATTTTTTGTACTATTTTCTCTTGTATTTGTAATATATATTTATATGTCAGTGTGTAAATTCTTGGTATGAAATGAAAGCGGTAGTGATAATTGTTTCAGTATCGCTATAGTTGTATAGGTATTGTTGCCACTATTTTTTGTTTGTTTCTCTACTACTTGCGTTAAAGTTAATTTATTATAAGACAAATGACCATTCCCATTATTCGACAATTTTGCATTACTCATGCGCGAAAAAAGCGCGGGAAATTGGAATCTAGTAATTTTCCAAACACTTTCAAACGCAAAAACAAAATGACATTTGCAGATGTATAATTGGAACTGAGGGTAGAAAACGTAACAGTACATTTTTATGATTTTAAGCGGAAGTAGAATTTGCGGATGAATAATAGTTGTATTTCTCAGCAATAACGGGAAAGGTCTATTACAAATTGTTAAAATTTCTTATAACCTGGTTTTGTAAACTCGAGATCACGAACCAAAGGGGTAGAGGAAGGAAAGAAAAAATAAAAAAAAAACATGTACTGCTAGAATTTATACTGGATATACCAAATGTGTATTTACTGATGCAGTTACTGGAATTATTTACATTAATCATATTTAAGTCACGGCAAATAATAAATAACAAACTGTTCAGGGTTTCAGCATCGGTGGCACTGTGAATAATTCTTAGGGAATTTCTGACATGATATTATTTAAAAAAATTTAAATTTTGGTTCCGAATTTAAAAATGTACCCCCTACCCAGCATAATTTCTGTTTTGAACCGCCCTTGGTAAAATGAGGTAGTAAAAAGACTCTGTTTTCTGGGTTAAATCTCTTTGTGTTTTATGATTTCCTCTAATTGCATGTCTGTCTCAATACAAATCAGCGTAAGATAATAATTTGTAAAATATAGAGTTTAAAATCTGACCCTATATTGGTAGAATATTTTACAATGTTTTATGTTATCCTGAAGTTTTACACGAGTAAAATATGTTAATCATTATCGCAAAGGCATTTATTAAAATTTTGTATCCAAACTATCTGCCATGAAAATGTTAAACAGTTACACTTTAGCGGCTATTTAATGTAAGTTCGTTTATTCAGGGGCTGGTAACGGGACAGGATTAAAGTTTTTTTTTTTAGAATATTTTCTAACTGCCCCTTATGAGTGTTTAACTGTCACTTATGAGTGTTGAACTGTTACTTATTTGTCAGTTATTAGAATAAACGTAAGCTACAAGTGTAATTTTGAGTCAAAAGTGTAGATGGACTTTAAATAAATACGTTAGTAAGAAGTTAAAATACGGTGCTAATATGATAATTTTTTTCTCCCATAAATGAATAAACATTTTTTCCTCCCTTGTATGGATGAGAATCTACTTTCTGTCATATAATATATAGGATGCATTATTTTTATTTATATGCTGTATATATTAAAGAGAAAGAAGTAAAACAAATATGATCAAAGATATTTAGGACAAATATTATTGTAGTAGAGATGTTTATAAAAATATTAAGCGCCCTCAATTGATTTTAGTGGGGTTGTAAGCAAATTGGGAACGAGTGCCCAAGCACAATATTTATTAATAGTAGAGAAGACCGTGAGAGGTCGACCGTCACCCATCTGATAACCAGATGAGGCATATTTTTTATGAAATTTTATTGATTTATTAACACGCCTATGCCTCACTAGGCTTGTTTACTTATTTCCGTTTATGGCTACCTAGCAAGCAGGTATGAACAAGTAAGTCAATATAGGTAACTACACCGATATGTCAACCAATAAAAATTAATATCAGAAGAAAGATAATTTAATTACGAAAATAATCGTATAGGATTGCCTACAAAAAAAGTTCATGGAATACTAATGCCTTGCTTTAAAGTTTTAAAATCGGAGCAATTTAATATGTGCGGGAGAAAGAGCATATTCGAAATAAATTATCATCAAAATCAAGAAGAGATTCTTTTGAACCACATAAAAAAAACACTTTTTATACATATCACTATTTTTTTTATTTCCCAATTACAAATACTTAATACTAGCCATGAACAGAAATAAGTAAACAAGCCTACCGAGGCATATTCTCTGTGTTAAAATTAAATTTGTTCGGTTATCAGAAAAGTGAAGGTTATAAAAAAAATTGATTAAAATTTATTTAATTAAAAATAGTCATGAACACTTTTCGAATGGTAAGTTCCCATAGGCGAGTTATTAAATCAATTAAAGTTCATAAAAAATATGCCTCATCTGGTTATCAGATGGGTGAAGGTCGACCTCTCAAACTATGTAGATTTTTAAAATATTCTTATTTTTTAAAAAATAAAAAAGTTGTTTTTTATCAGGAATCGAACCCAAGTTCCTTAATACAAAACATAGAACCGGTCCCATCATGATCAGATTTACTGGTTTTAATTTTGTTTGGTAAAATTGTAATGGTTTGTCTCGTGCTACATTATTACTCACTCGTGTGAAGAGTGTCAGTTTCCACACTCGTAATGTAATTTCAAATAACGTGCTAATAATATTAACTAATAAATATGAACGTAGACTTCATTTTCTTTAAGAACAGGCCAGGGCACGGGCACGCCAACTTCAGAAAAGCAGTGTTGTATACAAAGTTTGTACGTACTATATAGTATGTATCCTAAAGTACGCATTGAAAAGCTATTTTGAATCGACTAATTCGTTTTGGGGGTATTGTTGTAAACTTTACTCAAAAAGTAACTCTGTAAACTATACGTCAACTCGCAAAAGAAGCATTAAATTAAATGTCAAATCATAAAAAACGTAATAATAGTAAACGCCTGTTTTTGCGGTTGGTTGAATAATATCAACCGGGGTGATCCACCAATCCAGCGGCTGTGGGCGGAGCGCTATTGATGACGTTCTAGGGGGACTATTCTCTAACTTTAGGGCGAAAATGCATAGCAACGAAAGCGTTAAGCGGACTTCTCAACAAAGTTCAATCACCAAAACGACAAGTATTCTCTAACTCTAGACGATTTTGCTATTCGTAAGTGACTTTAATTTTCGTCGTAAGCTGTCATAATTATAAATCGTAAATGCTGAGTGGTCTGAATAACTAAGGTTAGGATTTGAATGTCATTTTGACATTATTGCAATTCATTTATCATTAAACCTGGACGCGGTAGTCTAAAAGCAATGTATAGGACCCATATATTGAGGCCAATTCTAAAATTATAACGAATCGAAAACATAAAAAGCATACGTTTGTTAACATTTTAATATTTAACTCCTAATAAGACCATATTTTAATGTTTGACTTATCTACGTCCACTAATCTTCGCATTAAATGTCAAAACTTGGAGTGCTAATAGCAAGACGCTACTCATGTGTAACTTTTTTGAAAGCGCTTTACGTTTTTCAAATACGAACAGCACAGAAAGTTTGTGCTTTTCACTTTTGTCGCGTTTCTAGAGAGACGCGCTTACTGCTTTCAAAAACGTTGGTTAGAGAATAAGCCCCCCTGAGCAGTTTACGTTTGGATCCTATCCAGTTGATTTTAAACTACCGCGTCCATGTTTAATGATTAATGAATCATAATAATCTAAAAATGACATTCAACCTTGGTTATTCGGCTCAATAAGAGTAGTAAAATCGTCTAGCATTAGAGAATACCATAATTACATACTTGTCGTTTTGCTGATCGGACCTTATTGAGAATTCCGCTTGGCGCTTTCGATGCTATGCGTTTTCGTCTGAAAGTTAGAGAATAACCACGCAGGTCTATTCTTAAAGCAAACGAATTATATAATATATTATCAACTTTTTTGCTAATAATAGATCTGTTAAACAATACGATTCAGGATAACATAAATTTGATTAGTAAAATTTAATTCATTTATATTAGTTATTAGATACATTTTTTATTTTACAATAAAATAAATAAAACTAAGGCATATATCACAAAATACGAGTGATTGTTTCCCTTCAGAAAACAACTACTCTTTGGCTAATACCGCAGCAGGTATTGAATTATATCAAAAGATCGCAGGGATAGAAATTTTAATTTTGATTTTTCTTTCTTATTAGAACTCATCAGCAAGAAATATATAAGTTTTCAATTCCAGTATCTTATGGAATTAGCAAATGCATCAAATTCACTAGTATACAATAACGTTGGTCACGAGAATAAGTAGTCAAATAATGAAACTGGTAACGATATCTGCTACTAGTAAACAAAATGAAAGGCTGCTTGTAGTACCCAGTTAAAAAACTAGATGGCTCGTATTTTGTGTGACGTATGACTGTTTTATTTTTTTTTATTTTTATTTTACTTGTACACATTTAAGTTGGAATTATTTTCTCTATTTTATATTTTATTTAAATGTCACTAAATAGCGTTAAAAAAACATCACTTTTTGTTTTTATAAGACCGGCAACAGTACAAAGTAGGGAATCGTACATAAAATATTTTGTAATGCAATTTTTGTGAATAAAGACAGTCTGTAGTAGGTTAAGATAATATATAATATAAAAAATAAATATTTCATAATGCTACATTGATAAAGCTTTTTCGGGCTGATAAAGACATTGAATTCTACATTCCTTTTGTTTAACTATTGTTCAAGTTCAATTAACGACCAGTTACGTAGAAACTGAACAACCTGCAGTAAAATGTAACCGTCATTTATTAACGTTTTCTCAAGACTTATTAGTTGCTAAGGGAAATAACAAAATATATGAACAAAAACATGTAAGTTACTAAATCTCTTCAACTCTTTGATTAATATATTTTATATACAGGGTGTTTCCGAACTTGGCGTCCAAATTTGTAGGGGTGGTAGTTCGCATAATTTGAGACCAATTCGCAGATTTCATTTTTAAAAAATATTTAAAATAAAAATATTTAAAAATTATAAACAGGTACGGTCCTGCACAGCGATGGAACGCCTCGACTCGCGCGCGCTACGCTTAGAATCGACAAAATTGCAAATCGCATCTGTTTTTGAGGACTATTCCGCTACGCGCTCAGGGTAGGACCTGCTCTTTGAATTTTTTTATAATGGCTCTATTTTGTTTATTATAATTGTTTTAGAAAAATAAAATCTGCCAATCGCTCTCAAATTATGCGAACTAGCACCCCTACAAATTTGGACGCCAAGTTCGGAAACATCCTGTATAGTTTATCTAGGCTGCAAAATTTGACAATTTAATAGTGCTTCCATTGCAATTTATAAATATTCGAAAATAT